TATATATATATATAGTTGTCTTATGTGATATGGTAATAAAATATAAAATATAAAATATATTCACTGATGTTTGTTTACAGCAGATTGACGTTCATCTTTGGTTATCATTTTATATTGATAATAAATTAATTGCGGTATTAATGCGATTAAATATTCTTGATATCCATCTTTCTTTGTACATGGATTTTTATCAATGTTAAAACTACATAAACGTTTGAATTGTCGTAAATAAATGACCTGCAATTAAATAATTCTAATTTAATGTGTAAATTATTAGCTAAAAGATTAAATATCGAAAAAATGTAGTGTATTAAGATCTTATACATGTTCCCAATCTGTTATCTGATTATTTCCAATGCTAAAAATGTGTAATTTATGTAAGTTATCTATGCCTTCGATTTTAGAAAAATGATTATTGAAAAGTAACAGTATTTCCAATTCAATTAAATGATTTAGATTCTCCATTACTTTAATATGATTAAAAGATAGATCAAGTTCTTTTAAATGAACAAGGGCATCCAAATTTTCGATTTTTTCTATAATGTTATTTGATAAATGTAATTTTATCAAATTTGGCATTACCCAAAGGTGATCAATTTTCAAAATATCTGTAAAAATATAATAATAAATATGTACGTAGTAATATGTAATAAATATATACGATTATCAATGAATTTGTCAAATTGATATGAATTTGTTATAAATAATGACGTACTACAAAATTCAATTCGTATTTCAGTAATGGCATCCAATTTAATACCATCTTCAAGAAAATGTTTTCCAGCATCACCTTTGGGGCCTTGATCAATTGTTAAATTAACAAGAAGTTCTTCATTAATTACACCAGGTTCTAAAATACTTTTCGTAGCGGTCGAGACATTTTCTTGATACATCATTCACAAAAATAATAAACATTATATACATATAATAATGAGAATAAATTATTTAATTTATCTAATTGTGTATACTCTTGAATACTGTTTATTATATCGATTATGTTGCCGTGCAACTGTAAGTTGCGTCATTTTCATTTCCATATCATCCATTTTTCATGGATTATATTAATATTTATATAATATTTTATGATATTTATATACATTATCCTATAAAAAAAAACAATTAAATTTTGACAATAATCTAAATAACAATGTAAAATATAATATATTTAAGAGAATAATAAAAAATATTGTTCAATTTAACAATATACAAATAGAATTGTAATTTGAAAAAAGCGCGCCATATTGTTACATTTCCCATAATGCATCTATTACGAAATTTGATTAGTAACATGCATTGTTATAATACTATCATTACGTAACAGTTACATTATTGAGTAAAATAAGTGTATTTAGTAAAAAAGTTTTTGAAGAATATTAAATAAAATTGATTATTCGTTAAAGCATAAAATTCTTATCAAATCTAAAGAGTATTTGATAGATAAATGTTTTATCCAATCAACGTAGGATAAAAGCAAGCTGCGTTGAGTGCAATTGAGAGAATTGCAGAAGGCCAAGCTAGGGTACTGAAAGCCAATCATCGTACACGTCTCAAGACGCTCGGATGAACTAGCTTCTATATATCTAGTGTTGGTCGTCTTCCTACGTTTTGACATTTCTGTTTTATCATTGTGTAGGTCATATGATTCAGCCTTCTGTCATTCAACGGTATAAGATCTTGTTCGTAGCGAATTACGAATATCGCCCTTATCGGAGATATACACGCGCGCGATATATGTCCACTTAAATCGGGCTAATATAATTTATATTTGACATTGTTTCCAATCCTCAACCAAGCATGTCATTCTTTGGAGTTAACGTAAACCCCTTTTCATCGCCAGTTGGCCAAAAGATTGGTAAGATAATATCAATAAACTACACTCCCATTAAAATTATGCGTATTATTGTTTAATCCTACGAATATCTCATTTGCGTCGTCATTGACTGTAATAACATCGGTCAACAGTCATATCCATATGTACAAAATTTAACGTATTATCTTATATTACTTTTTTAGATAATACTTTATTATACTTTACGATGTTTCTTTTCATTTGTTATTCGATATTTCTATGATGTTACATATCGGTAAAAATGTATTTTTATTAACAGAATTATATATTCATTGATTTATTATTCTATCTGAAATAAAATTATATATTTCAGAGCAAGCTACAGATGGTGGTTTGCCTAGTGAAAATTGGGCACTTAATATGGAAATATGTGATATTATTAATGAGACAGAAGATGGACCTAGAGATGCTATTAAAGCAATTAAGCGCAGACTTAATCAAGCTGCTGGCAAAAATTATACTATAGTAATGTATACGCTTACTGTTAGTATCAAATTCTCACTTACTTTTTATATTATTATTTGTAATAGTATAAGTATTGAGATTACTACATTATATTAGTGTCTGTGTTAAAACACACACGCGCATACTTATAGATTTTTAGGTTTGATTTTATAACACAGATGTCTGGTTTATAATTTTTTCATGTCCCAACTATTGTATATAATATTTGTAATTTAGGTATTAGAAACATGCGTGAAAAATTGTGGAAAACGTTTTCATGCTCTTGCTTGTTCACGAGAATTTGTACAAGAATTGGTTAAATTAATTGGACCGAAAAATGAACCGCCAACTGCTGTACAGGAAAAAGTTTTGAATTTAATTCAAACATGGGCAGATACATTTTGTCATCAAGCACATACTCAAGGAGTTGTACAAGTCTATCAGGAATTAAAAGCAAAAGGCATACAATTTCCAATGACTGATTTGGATGCAATGGCACCTATTATTACTCCTCAAAGAGTAAGATATTTCATTTGTAAATCGTATTTTCATCAATTATATAAATTTATATTGTACTTTACAGAGTGTACCTGAAACAGAACAAATCTCAGGAAATTTGCCTGTAAATGATCAACATATTTCAAACTCTACGGTGACACAACAACAATCACAATTGCAATCATCTAGTCAGTTAACTCAATTGAATGAGCAACAGTTGGCAAAATTACAAAGTGAATTGGATGTTGTACAAGGCAACATGCGCGTTTTATCAGAAATGTTAACATATTTGACGGATCAAACTTCCACTCAACCACCAGATTCTGCTGATCTTGAATTATTGACAGTATGTTATATATCTCATATCAATATTTCTTTATGTAACAGCTAGCATATTAATTTTTGCTTCGTATACATATAAGTGCGACATATATGTATATATAATCTATAGGAATTGTATGCAACATGTAAAGCGATGCAAGAACGTGTAGTAGATTTAATTGGAAAACTGGCAAATGATGAAATGACAGCTGAATTATTGCGTATAAATGATGAATTAAATAATCTGTTCCTGCGTTATTCAAGATATACAAAAAATAAAGCTGTACCTGCAAGTACCATATTAGCTCAAACAATAGGTCAACCACCAAATATTGATTCGAGTGCAGAATCAACAAAAAAAGAGGCAGATTCACTTATAGATTTGTCAGACGAATCTGATGCTTTACAGAAGCAGGTGGCAGCAATGGGTAAGCTGAAATTTCATAATATCAAAACTGATTCTTTTATTCAATTTTATTTTATTGCAGGTATATCTGAAACTAATGATAATCTTAGGGTAGAAAAAAAAGAAAAGAAAGGTGATAGCGATGAATTTGATATGTTCGCACAGTCCCGTAATGCAACATACGAGACAACAAAAAACAGGTAAAATATTTGTCAATATATATATATATATATATTATTATTATTATTATTATTATTATTATTATTATTATTATTATTATTATTATTATTATATTAAAAATGTTATATTATGTTATCATATAGTGGTAGCAAATATGAAGATAATATGGAACAGGTGAGCGGAGGAAGTCTAAGTTCAGCAATTCTCAATCGTAACAATCCTAAGTATTCCCATCAAACTGCTTCTACTACTGCTACTACTACTACTTCTACTACTACTACTACTACTTCTGCTGCTGCTGCTGCTGCTGCTGCTACTACTACTGTGCGTAATGCTCCTTATCCTTCTTAAGCTAAGTTACAATATCTTCATTAGTAGTAACACAATTGCAAAATCCTACAAGTTTACAGGAATTTACATAATGCAAATAATACAATTAGTTCTATTAATTATAATATCACATATTTTACTTGGAATATAAAAGAAAATCCTGTAAACTTGAAACAATACCACTTGGTCCAATATTATAAATTTTCCAACATAAAAGAATGAAAATTTTTAATTACCTGAGAAAATGAAGGTACAGTATTAATTATAAAATTTTATCGCTTTGCACAGCTTTTTTCTGTAATGTTATGTTTCATTATTCTTTCTTTTTTTTTTCCTTATATTTATTTATATAATAATATTATTGTGTACAAATGTTTATTGTTTTGTTCAATGTTCGTCTTTTTAATTTAAATGCTTAGCTCAACCGGGAATCAGAGTTCAGTGAAATGGCAGCTTGGCTTAGTCATACGGTGAGTTATGTATTCTGACCCTAATATTTAAATATTTTAATTTTAGTAAAATATTTCAAAGTATTTGGAGCAGGTAAGAGGAAGAATCTTTTTATACATCATTAATGTCAAGATTCAATCAAATATTATAGAATAATAACATAATGATTATTTTTTATTTGAATATAAAATAGATATTGTGTCATATGGAATGTTACAGCCTGCTGTACAAGGTGACCAAGAATCTTTAACATCATCAGAGTTTGAACGTTTTTTAGCAGAGCGAGCAGCTGCTGCTGAAGCTCTCCCTACACTTTCAACTACAACAACCCCGTCAAATACTTCAAACTCTGGAAATCCAAATATTCAGCGTCAAATTAATAAAGATCAAGATAAATCTTTATTTGCTCTGTAAATGTTGCTGTCGAATCTCTTGTAAAGCAGATGATAAAAGACAACACAGCTCTACACTAATTAAAGTCTTTAATGCCTCTACCTGCATCTGTTATATTAATGTTTATATTAATTTAATTAATTAAATGCAAAAAAATAAAGATAGAGAGAGAGAGAGAGAAAAAAAATAAGAATCAGGAAAATAGAGGCAAACGAGTGCGCATTATGCATTAAATTTGCTTTTTTTACGTACTTAACGAGCGTAGTGTCACGCAGTATCTATTGGAATATTTTTTGTTATAAGTTCTTACTTATAATGAATAAGTGATGATAAATTAGAAATCTAAAGAAAATGTATGTTAATTGTGTAACTTCTTCAGTAGAATGATAAAAAGTATTAATTTTTTTTTTTATTTGTATATATAGAAAATCCTATATTTACAAAATTATATTAAATTTAAAAAAAAAAAGAAAAAGAATAAACAGCAATATGCATATCCCTTGAACTACCTAAGATCCATACAAATACTATTTTACGTGAGGTTGTATTTATTTTATTAATTACTACAGCGTGAAACATTAAGTATCATATTTAATAGCTTATCCGATAAATATTAATAAAAATATTTTTCTATCTTAAATTAAATTACAAATGGTCTCCTATTAAAAATTTTGTAAACAATAATGAATTATAGGTTGATAATCATTATAGTTTATGTTGTATATTGTTATAATGATTATAATTGTTATATTTTAGTATCCTTTATGTTACTAATCGATTAATAACATTTATTATTAAAATTTTTTTATAAATAGAATCTATGTATATTCTGCAAAAAAAAAAAAAAAACAAATTATAAGAGAATTCCCTTAATATGCAACATTATGTTACTATAATAACGTAAAGACAACATAAATGGTAATTTTAGTTTTTAATATATTTTCTTTTATTGCATGTAATATTGTTAAATATGTGCACAGAATATAATATTAATTTATATATAATTTTTATAATTATTCATAATATCTTTTAATTGTTATTTGCACATGTACACAAACAAAATGATAAAAATTTATCGTAAATATCTTCTTCATTTTTTGTTCACCATATATAAATATATATATATATATATATATGTATAAGTCAATCGGTACTAAAAAATAATAGGATGCTTCGAATAGAAAATTGTTAAGTACTGTTAAAAAATAAAAGAAACGTTTCTATATCTATTTCCGCTATTAAAAAAGAAAAGATAAGAAGAAGACAAGGTCTATTATTAAAAGATACAAGGAAAAAGATAGTTTCTTGTAATTATTCATTTGTGTAGTAAAATGACAATGTAAAGTATGTAATACGAAACATTTTTATATGAAAAAATCATACTTAATAATTTATTTAATATTATTAATTATTATTAAAAAAATATATTAACAAGTTAATAGAATAAATAAAAAAAAAATATATATTTTTTCTCAATCGTGTATGAATTTTATTCATATTGTCTATCATTAATTAGAATAGTTATCGTCAAATGTTAAATCAAACATTAACATCAGATTTATTGTAATAATAGTTAACAATCAAAAATATAAGTAGTATCGATACACGAAAATTGTTACGTTATCGATACTTAAGTACGCAATTCGATTATTTACGAGTGTAGTTCTTCGATGGTTATACTTTAGAAAGATATGCGAGATGAGGTCACGTGGTTTATCTATCATGCATTTGTTCAGTTCAATCTGAACGTTTGATCAATTCGTTTGCTAGTTTTTACATGTCTTGTTTGCTTGAATAATCTATTTCGAAATATAAGAAAAAAAATTTTCGAATGATCTTTCATTATAACGGTGAAGATAGATCATTACAGTACTTATTTCTAACGGAACATGTATACCGTATCTAAAGGGCCTAGTAAAATTGTAGCGAAGACTCGTAGAGGTATTTAATTGTTCGTAAAGGTATTATATTGTTGTGAACAGTGATTGACATTAATAAAGTCAACTTAAACTTAAGGTGTAAATAATTTTTTTTTTTTTATATATATATATATGTGTTTTATAGTAAAAATGTTAATGTTTATATTTTAAAGGAATCAGTCAGAATCTAGAGAGATTAGAAACTCTTCGTGATCTAACAAGAAAGGCAGTTCCTGAAACTGAACATGAAACCACCCGGTAGGTCATGATCTAACTCTTTTAACCTTACCGATCGACTTTTTTACTCTTCCTCCATACTCAACATTACGCAATTCACAATTTATTTTTCCACAGACTAAAATCACCTTTTTACTCATTAAGTCAAATTAATGATGAAACATTAAAAAAAAAAAAAAAAAATAGTAAAATTTAAATATTACTTTAACTTGATTATCATAAAATTGTTTAATTTTATTTTTATTATTTTCTTTTTATACATTTGTTCTTTCCTTTATTTTTTGTACATTTTTATTTGAATAAGTTTAATGCACTCTCTTTGATATTGCAGTCATGTGCCAAAGCCAGTCTTTCACATCAATGGGAAGTCAAAGTTCAACTCACAGAGGCATCAGATGCAAGAAGTTATAACACCACAGCATGAAGAACTTATTAAATTTGTTTATGAATGTAAGTTTGAATGTTTAACGTCAGGGAGATTAAAAGTGGGTTAATACGTAATTGAATGAGTGATATTAATAATAAAAATATCACTAAATTGAAATAATTCAAATTTTTCAAGAATTGCCTATTTTTTTGTATAATTCTCTTTTATGAAAATTAGTTTAACTAGCATTAACCTACTTAAGAACCCTGCTTCACAGATACAAGTATTTCAAATATTTTCAAGCAACTTTAAACATAAGTGGAGAGAATAATTAACAGATGCAAATGTCAAGAAGAAATACAAAAATCTGATAAAATAATCAAAGAAGAGAAAAATATTTGATGACTTAATATATATCTATGCAACTCTAAAAGGATATATTTATAACTTCTTTTATTAGCATGGAACCAAGTTAACACAAGACAAAGAAGTGAATCCTTGGACGGATCATCAGATTGCTCAGAACTTTCCAGTAAGTATTAACAAATAAAACATTTGTTTTTGTTTTTTATTTTAAATATATAACTTATTATTATAATATAAATGCACGAATCATCAAATAATATTAATTAGTCTTTCAAATTCATGCCAACATACATACCATTTATTTCATGAAAAAGGTTAAACTTAATTAATAGAATAGGTTAAAGTTCATACTACATTTGAATTTAAAAATAAAATATATATATACTTTTTTTTTCTTAGGTCCGAGTTCTATAGTATATTATAATGATGGAGAACCAAATGATATTCTTCAAGGTCATATATTTAAATTTATTAATTAATAAATTAAGAATACTTTCACTGCCACGTAGTTTTTAAGAAAAGTTGCGTCAGACACGTGCGCCGCTATACTGTGCGTACCTGTATAAATTGGAACTTACTAGATTCTTCTAGTAGTATGTTATGTTGGCCCGTTATTACTTATCATAGTAGAAGATTATTATATTTAGATATTCATAGAGAGATCACCATAGAAAATCTATATCTTCTATTTCTTATCATAATAAAAGATAAGCACATCTGGAACGAAATATTTCATAATCTACATTCTGTTGAAAATCTTTTTTCTAAAATAAAATATCTAAAACATGTGTAATATATTCGGAAAATTGTTTCTATTTTATTAAATAAAATTGATGATAATGAAGAAACTACAATTAAATTTAGTAATAAATTATTTGTATATTATTTTAATAACAATTTAATAATTTTATTATATATTAATATTTTTTATCAAGTACCCACAAAGAAATTTTGTAAGTAGTTAAATAAGGGATCACCCGGTATAAATCACCCAGATTAGGGTGATGTGGCCCTACGAAAACTTTCGTTATCACATGAATTCGATTAACAACGTGGCAGTCAAAGTATTAATAAATAAATTTATTAATGTGTGTCTTGATATACAAAATTGATTGTTTTAGATTTCAAACCTTTTGACCTAGAATCTTGGTGGGGTAAACGGTTATTCAATAATATCACAAATTCGCTCTGAAATACAAGAGGATCGAAGAATATTCCATATTGAAGAATTTATTGGATGTAGTATGGCCAATATTAGCCAGTGCAACAAATTAGCAAGAATTACGTTTTAAAGACACTTTAATCATGGATGGATCTGAACTTTAAACAGTGTTAAGCTATTGAGACATTAAAATGGACTCATTAGATTTTGTGCAACCAAATTTTCCACCATTACTATTTCATTGGCATCGTATTTTAGCAGGCCAGTCGTAATACGTAATGCAATTTTGCACGAAATAATATAGAAATAATATTCTATCAAGTGCTTCAAAAATATTAGATTTTTACTCAATAAAATGAAATAAATAAGTGCTATCCAATATAAAAAAAAAAGCGCTAGTTTTTGATCTTTCATTTTGTTAATAGTATATGCATTTGTGTTTACCTATTATATTATTATGAAATATTATATTATATATATATATATCATAATGACATATAAAAGGATAGACACATGACATCATTGCATACATATTACAATTTGCACAGTTTTAATGAAAAATGTGCTTGAGAACGTGCAAAATCCTTTTTAACTAAAAAGAAAGAGTTGCAGTCTGAGTAGACAATAACTAAACTGTAATGCAATGCAAAATGCAGTTATTATTATTCACTTCGTTATCAAGAAATATTAAATTTCCTTTAGGCTTTTAATACATGATTAAAATTGAGAATGCGATTAACAACTGCATACCAAATAGGGCTAAAGAATTATGTGTAAATGAACCCTGAGTGGTATGAATGTTGCATGGAAAAAATAAAGTTAACCATAGAATTGTACATATTATGTGCATTAAATTGAATGAATGTATGATAATGTTGCTGATATTGTTACGAGGTCTATATTTGAATATCTTTATGTAAGCAACGATTTAGTATAACTTTGTAGACTGATAATATTAAGGTTGTCATATTATCATTGGAAAGACAAAATTTGTCGCCAGTATATCCATTTGCAAACTATGCTTTCAAACTTTTCAAATTACACCAAGTTTACTCTTATCTATATTATTATTTAAAAAAGTCAATTAGGAGAAATATTTTGAATGCTAAAAAATTAATAATAAAGCGTAGTTTGCAAACGTAGTCAAAATGTAGTGCAATATATTTGGCCACGTGGGCTGAATAATATCATTATGAAGAATAAATATGGCTTTATATATAAAACAATTCTTTCTTAATTTTTAATTTTTATTTTTTATTTATTTATTTTTTTTTTATTTTATTTTATTTTATCAACATCATTCATTACTTATTCATTCCTTTAAAATATATATTTAAATGTATTAATCGCACATCGCGGGAATACATATCGATTGGGAGAATCGATCTATCGTTTACAAAAATATCTGCAACTCGAATAGAAAGAAAAATAGGAAGAACAATATTATTGTTGTGTTTTCATTTATTTGTCAATTTACTATATCCGTATTAGTTCGTTAAAATTTAAAATAGATAAATCTTCTATTATCTATTTTTGTAATATGTCGTTAAACTTTTCTAACCTATAATACATTTATGTATAAGTTATATATCTACAGAGAATTTTACTGGTTTTGAAATTTTTTAAGTGATAATAAATAATATACATATAAATTTATTATTTTATGGATCTATAACTTATATTATTATAAAATGGAACGTCCATGGAAAAATTCTGATGAAGAATTAGAGAATAGTATTCTTAGCTTTGCCAAAGTTCATGATGGTTTAGTTTATTACAAGAAGTCTAAAGCTATTTTAAGAAGAGATTTCAATGATTTAGTTGGTAAAGTAAGTAAATATTTTTCTTCCATAAATTTTAGGATTACTAAAGTATTCTCTTATTAGGTTAAATTAGTATCTGGCGGAGCAAGTGGAAATGAACCGGCTTTTATTGGTTTTGTTGGGCCTGGTATGTTGACTGCTGCAGTTTGTGGACAAATTTTCTCAGCACCATCAGTCGGTGCTATATTAAAAATCATTAAAGTAGTTGCCCTAGATTATTCTGGTAATAATTTTTTATATAATAATTTATTCAATTTTTATAATAATTTATATTATCTTTGGTCCTATAGGTGTTCTGTTAATAGTCCTAAATTATCCAGGACATCGTATTAATTTTGGATTAGCCAAATTACGTGCAGAAGGTATGGGCGTAAATGTGAAAATGTTAGTTGTTGGAGATGATGTATGCATAGAAGCTAAAGCCATAGAAAAAAGAGGTTTAGCTGGTATATTATTCATAATTAAAATAGCTGGTGCGATGGCAGAAAATGGAGAAAATTTAGAAACTATTTATAATGTATGCAATAGAATTGTAAATAGTGGAGAAATTGCAACTATGAGCATAGGCATGAAATTACCATTTTTTTCTGAAGAGAATTCACGTTCAAGGAATAAAAGTTCAAGGAACAACAGTTCTGATGAAAGTTCTGCTGATGAGATGAAAACAGGTCTATATTCAATTTATAAATTATCAGCATAAAGATTCTTTCCACAATGATTTTTTATAATGTATCCTGTTATTGTATTTTGAATATTGAGTAGGATATGGTATTCATGGTGAATTGGATGGTCGTTCATTAGGAAAAAGATCCTTTGAGGATCTTGTTTATGTTGTAATGGTTCGTTTAATATTTACATCTATAAGCGCACCAGATAACGAAGAGCCACCTAGAAGGTTTCCGATTGACCACAATGTAGCTGTTCTGGTAAACAATCTTGGAGGTATACTGAATGTTAATATAAACAGTATAGTTGCCTGAAAACTTATTTGCAGTTTGGGGAGATGTATGAACAAGTTTGTTATATCTATTTTCACTTATAACACTCTCTTAAAGTCTACAAAGTAGGATTTTTGAATGAAACCTAATTGCAAACAAATTTTCAGTTAATAACACAATCTCTATGACAAAATAAAATATAATAATGAATAATTTTCATTTTTTAGCCAGCAATCAGATAGAATGCAATCTATTTACAGCTGAAATTCTTAAACAACTAAAAAATTATAATTTAACGGCGAAAAGAGTATATATAGGTCATTTAATGACTTCATTGGATTCTTTTGGTTTTCAAGTCTCATTGTTAAATCTTTCCATTTATCCTGATCTAATTAAATATCTTGATAGTCCAACATTAGCACCTGCTTGGCCAAAAGTATTAACCGCTAAAATGCTTGGATATGAAAAAGTTAGTTTATATAATATCACAAATAAAGTATAATTTGTTACCAAACAAAATAGACATTTTTAATATAAAATATTGTATTTTTCTAGGATGATTATTCACTGCCAAATACTCTAGTAAATATGACCAAGTCAAGTAAAACAATAATACTGTTTTATAATTCTTAAGTTTTATAATCAATAAAACTGACCCCATGTTTTATAGGATTATTACGAGAGTACTGTACCTTATATGAAGCCTAAAGGACCTAAGTTAGATGATAGAAGTGGAGAAGGACTTTTAACTTGTATACTATTTGCATGTGATGCATTGATAAGTTGTACAGAACAATTGAATAGAATGGATAGAGAATTTGGCGATGGCGATTGCGGTAAAACAATTGCTCGAGGAGCAGATGCTATAAAAGATGCAATCCAAGTATATGTTTAAAATGTTAAGATATTGTTATTACTCAAAATTATTGTCATAACTAAAAATATTTAACTTTTTAGATGAAAAAATTGAGGAGTACTACAAATCCTTTTCTCATCTTTACAGATATAAGCTGTATTATAGAAAAAGAAATGGGCGGAGTGCAAGGAGGATTATATTCCATATTTTTTTATGCTGTTGCTAAGGTAAAAGTCTAATTAAACATATCTTGTTATAAATAATTGCTTATTATATTACGTTTATAAATAATTACAGGCGTTTAGTGAAGCCGACGATAAGATAACATCTCGTACATGGTTGAATGCATTAACTGAAGGAAATAAAGTTATATCGGAATTTGGACAAGTATCATTTGGAGACAGAACAATGCTAGATCCTTTAATTGCTGCACAAAATGAATTATCTAGTGCATTAGATGCAAAAATGCATCCTATTGAAGCATTTGGACAAGCTGTTAAAGCTGCAGAAAAATGTGCTGCTCAAACACTAAACGTACGAGCATATCGTAGACGAACTAATAACTTTGTATGCCTCCAAGTAATTTTCTTTTTTATACCTTTTTTTTTGTTTATTTACTACTTTTTTACACGTTACAACAATTATATATCAAACTATCAACGATAATCATGCGATTTCATTTTTTATAGAAATTTAAAAATCCTGACCCTGGGGCACATGCTATTGGTATATGGATGAGAGCTTCATATGAAGGTGTAAAATTAAAGTTTGCTTGTCAGTGTGGAATGGAATGATATTGGATCGGAATCTTATTCATGATATTTCTGAGAAATCCTATAAATTCAAATAAGTTATATTTAGGTTTCATAACATCCACGATATACGCATTCGCCCATTGATACATACCAACATACGTACACACATTCAACTTATTATTGACATAACGAACGTTTTATTATATTTTGAAAAATGAATACATGAAATAGACATATAGAATATTATAATTGTCATAAGGGCCACAATTTGAAAACAGAGATCCTTTGTATTTTTACTGAAACTATCAACTTCATGTTTATAATTCTTTTGAACACATAATTTTAAAAAGGGATTTTATACGAGCATCCATTAATCGATAATGATTTTCTACTTATACAGTTGCATAATCTTTAGGAATATCTCATCTATTAGATATATCTTTATAATTAATTTAATGTGAGATGAACAAGCACGTATATCTAGATATTTTATCATTTAAATTTCTTCAAATCGATTGAAATTGTAGCAAACTTTTGATAGATCTCGTTCTTTGATTTTAAAATTTATACATTTTAAACTTTCATCTTTGGCAATCACTATAGGCACTATACAGAGACAATACATCAAATTTGTTTCTTTCGGCGTGTGTATAACATATATATATATATATAATTGATGTTAGAAAAAATACTAATTATACCAAGTAATATCAGAACACGCGATATTTTGTGTTTTACGTGTGGTAATATATCTGTGGTCGAATCACTTGGACTTTAAATTTATTTTTTAACAAAATTTCAAATAGTTGTTCATTATCAGTCTTTGCCGATATTATTGCACATGAATCTAAATACATAAGCCTATATTATTGGCTTTTGTCATATCCTTTAAATATATTATTGTAAAGCATATAAATTTCGTTACAAAATGTTTATCTTTTTCGTCGATAAATATAATATATGTATATATTTTTGTATTTTATTACTGCAAGAAATATATTTTTATTTTCAACAAAGATAAATAATAATCAAATCATTATTTTCTTTTTATTATTATTCTTCACTGTGCTAACAAATTTTTATAATTTTGGATATGCATTTAAGGATGATCCTTTTCATGAATCTTATTAATCTTTTTTCTTTGTTTGTGTTAATTTAAATAGAATCATCTTTTATATAATTACGTACAAAGGATCATTATTGAATATAACATAGTAGACACTTAATAATTATCATTATCATCGTTATCAGTATTATTGTTACATTAATTGTATTGGAATCATGTTTTACTTATCTTATCAATTAACAATCAACGAAGATTCCAAAAAGGACGATTACCGAATCGAATCATGCACAGTTACGAGCATAACTATAACGAAGAATTCGATTGAAGTATATTGCCAGATATTCTTGTTAAATATAATATATCGTAGTCGTGTAAAATACTATGTTATCAATGATAATGAAAAAAAAAAAAAATAAAAAACTTTTATTTTCATACAATTTTGATTGTGGCCATAATGACAACAACTTTTTTTCATTTATTTATATACGTAGATTGGAACTTAAATAGTGGCAAATATTTATTCACAACCGATACAAATGAGTTACATGTTTGCACCTGTTACTGTTCTTCAAAGTAGTCACTAGTGTTGTGCAGAACCCGTTGCCAGTGATTTGGAAGGCGTAGTATATCGTTAGCAGAGCCTGTTCTGTTGATGGTGCGAATAAAGCGGTCTACTGCCTGTTGAATCTCTGGAACCAAAACTGAAACGCCAATCCAATGAATAGCGTCATTATGGGTCGCTGCTAAAGTTGAAAGTGCGTCAGAGCTCCAGTATGGTGAAAGTTATGATGATTTCACCATTTCCATTTCGTGGCATTCGCTTTAGAACTGTTCCAGAGATTCGATAGGCAGTAGACCGCTCCATTTGCACCATCAACAGAACAGGCTCTGCTAATGGTATACTACGCCTTCCACATGGCTGGCAACGGGTTCTACACAACACTGGTGACTACTTTGAAGGACAGTAACAGGTGCAAACATGTAACTCTTTTGTATCGGTTGTGAATAAATTTATTTGCCACTATTTAAGTTCCAATCTACGTATTTTCTATTTAATTTCATTTCATTATTCTTTTGTTTCAAGAAAAAACAAGTATTTTACTCGACTCCGTATTTGTTATATTACCAAATAGACTCTAAATACATATGTATATATGTATATATAGAAATACGCGCACCACACAAGGAAAAAATCTGCACAATATCGATGGGTTTGTTTTTGTTTTTTTTTTTAAGTATTTTGTGCAAGAAATTAATTTTACGATGAAATAAATTCAAATGATCAGAGTTCGATTATTATATAGAACATTGAATCGATTGTTTTTCACGCGATTTTAATTATTGATTCGAAAGATGATTGTCTATGATTGTCAATGAATACATGTATATATGTATATAATAGATAATAGTAATGATAATATATATGTAATTAATTGCGGACATTCGCGTGTTGATTTTTAAGAAATATAATTACCAATATATATACGATTTGTTCTTTCAATATATGATCCGTCTGATTCAACCGATATTTGTTTAACATTAAGGACACTTAACTTTGTATGATCGTCTTAGGAACATGTACGCGCTAATTTCATAGGATCTATGGGGTTTTTATAGATCTGTGCGCTTAATCTTATCGTACTCGCGTGTTTTTTTTTTTTTTTTTTTTATAAACTCTGTGAAAGTTTTAAAACGTCAGATAAAATTCAATTAACTTTCGGTCGACATTGTACATCGTATATGTATATATATATATATTATGTGTGTGTGTGTATGTATGTTTGAATGAAATTGTACCTTTGTATATTTTTCATTAAATATATAAGTGGGGAAAAAATATATAGGTGAAATATTTTACCTGAGGGTGGGGTGGAGGAGGTGGCATACATTTTCCCAAAATGAAAATTCATTTGTTCATAGGAACACGTGGGGTTTTTTTTTTCATTTTCTTTTTTCTGATCGGTTGGTCGTATATTTGAAGAATCATATCGTATTTCAGTTTTATTTTTTAAGATAGTATGTATTACTCTTTTTGGATGCTGTTATTCAAAAATTTGAGATGTCAACGCGAACGTCCGCACAATAAATATATATATATATATTTATATTTTACACGGATACAAAAACTACCTTAATTATTAATGATTGTGTTATGCGACAATTGACAAAGATATCGCGTTATCACGCGTTATCCTATTTTAATAACAGCAATAGGCCCTAAGCTAATTTATAAGGAGAAAAATATTGGCTTATCTTTGTATAAACGAGGCCGAAGATATGTAAGTTTATATATATTTATATAAAATACATAAAAAACACAAGGAATGTATGTACGAATATTATAATATTAATTCATCATTCAATAATTTTGAAGTATGACGATAAAAGTAAATGTTTCCAATCACTTCGTTAAAATAATTTGACATATATAATTTTAAATACATATTATAATTTATTATCAAATTTTGTATTGTGTTTGAAAATATTAGATGAATAAATTCATTCTGTAGCATGAATATATATTAAATTTCTTGTTGATTATATAAAATAATTATTTTATATCATGTGTCAGAGTTACGTCAGGGTTTTTGCAATTAATAGCAATTAATTTAGCAATTAATTTAGCCCTTAATATTATGCAATATATATATATACCGATATATACTTATGTAACAAATGAATTTTGTAAGAGTAATTTATAATTACAATGTTCACAATACAAATAATTATTATTACGAACAAAAAATATTGAATTATTAAATGTATGTTTAATAGATAAATATCGAAGTGATTCGAAACAAGTCAAATAAACGAATTATCGATCAATAAAGAATTTTTAGAACGAGGAATTAATTATTATACACACGTAGATACACGTGTGTACATGTATACAACATTGAATAGTGAATTTGTCAGCTGATTTAGCTGTCGGAGGCCAACATATGTTCCAGTATTATACGATGAAACATTTAAAAAGAGAAAAAAAGATATTTTTCTTTTGAAGAAGAAGAAGAAGAAGAAGAAGAAAGTTCGTCTACTGAAAACACGACCACCATATTCTCACTGTAACGGTGTATTTCTCCATTTAATGAACGACGAACCATTGTATATATATATATATTTTGTGTGTGTGTGTGTGTGTATAATTCTCGTTGAAAAATGTAGATATTTGAAAGAAGTAGATTTTTGTCAAAGGAAGATCAATTTCTTTTTTTGAAATGTGAATTAAATTTGTATATTCCTATTTTTTCATATCATTGTGACATCAAATACTTTCTCTTAGCAAGGCTCGAATTTGTACAACCTATCTTCACCTTCTGATCGTACCAAATAATCAATAATATTAGAAAATGCAATTTACGTTTACAATTTGCACGATGTACTGCTTCTAAATTCTCCAAAAAGATGAGTATTCTTCTACTTCGGAAGTATAATTTAATGATAGTTCCCCTATCTCTCCTTAGTTTCTGATTGTACATTTCATGCGTCGGTTTGTCTATTGAAGAATTGATACTGTAACATATTAAACATCCAATAGTATTATTATTTCAATGATCATTATTTCATATGCTCTAATAAGATCCTAAGTAAATGAAAATCATTTCTTTTCAATATTTAATCTTGTCAAGCTTTCAATGACAAGTATTGCTTGTATATTAAGATTATATTTAAGCTGGCGTTATTTACAAGCTAATATAATTTTAATGAATTAATCTTAAATCGAATTATATCATTAAAAAAAAGTATTCATGCGCTTGGGCAACAGAGAGGCAAAAGGATTGGAGAGGAAGGAAAGTACGTTTGAGAGAAGTGAACAGGAATAAAATCAATCAAATCAGACAGAAAGAGAAAGATAGAAGGAAGAAGAAGAAGAAGAAGAAGAAGATAAAATAAAATTAAAAAAAAAAATAAAAGAAGTAAGAAAGAAGAAGATTTTCACGTGTCTGTCTGTTCTCAGCAAAGTATTGCAGTGACATCGCCTATGGCAGTGGCAACAGGAGCAAGTCATAACCAGCAGTAGCGCGCAGCAAGAAGAGCATTATTTACAGTTAGCGATAGCGTAAGAGCGTAAACGTTTTAACAGCTGTAGCGGCCCCTATATATAAAACCTTTTATAACAATATTAGAAATTGATTAAATATTTTTTTTTTTTTTTTTTTAATGTAATAACGAAGATGTTCAATTGTCAAAAATGGTAGATCATCGAAGACGATTGAAGATCTTACCCAAGGTAATATTAAAGTACCGTGCGATAGAGCAAGCGAGATGCAGACACGATCTTAGGTGCTGGCATGTAGGTAAAGGAAACATAGTATCCTTACACTGTAACCAAGGGTCAGTGGGAATGTTGTCCCGGTAGCTGGAGTGATGGAGAAAGTGTTGGTTGTGGTGGTGGTCCATTGAGGCAGATTGGGGGTAGTTGTCTTACCATGCTGTTGCCAACCTGGTGAAGAAGTCCTTGTTGGGATGAGGTCGATGATACCGAGGGACGCCTTGATCCTCGAATACTATTCATACTCGAACTGAGAAGATACGGCACGCTACTACTTGTTATTGGCATTCCGCCTCCCTATGAATTTGAAAAACGACAGATAATTGTGACAGTTGACTAATATTTAGTTAAATCATTGGAAAGATTAATGTTATGAGTTTTAAAAATACAAGATATGATGTTACCGTCGGCGGTGAAAGATTAATAGTTGATCCACGTCGTTCTTGAGTCGAATGTCGACGTATAGGTAAACCACCACCAGGTGTTCCACCTGGAGAACTTGCGCAAGATGGTGCTACTCGTATTTTAGGTGTCATTAAAGTATTATCTGAAAGACGTCTACTCGTGAAGGCGTTATGCACTTTTAAGAAATTACTATCGTTCACCGTTGATGCAAACCACCCTCCGAAATTGGCTACAAACAGAACAATCATTGTTAAGAGAGATTATAGTGTTTTCAATTATTTTCTAATAATAATAATCAACATTACGTACACATTATTGAATTTTTTCGGGCCATATTTTCAGCAGATGCTGTCCTATCTGGTTCAGCTAATATTGAAAATACAAGTTTTTTTAGAATGAACATTTTTCAATGATATAATTATGACGACAAATTTCTATATTTCTTACTCATGCTATTTTTTCTTGCCATATCTTCAGCCGATGAAGTTTTTCGTTGATCAATACGTAAATTCGGAATGTTAAATGGTGGAACGTGCATGTTGTCCGTACTATGTTGATGTCGGAAAGTCCGAAATCTGTCCGGACTCGGTAAAGAGAGATTGTCCAGGGTGAGTTTATTTCTTTGATTCCTAAAAGAAAAAGATATCAATCATTTTGTCTATGAAATATTATGAAAAACAAGAGATGACAAAGAAAAAGCTTACCTTTCTATATGATTCAACATTTCTTGAAGCACTTGGAAAAGTGCAACGAATTGATCCAAATTCAATCCAGGATTGACCGTTTGTGGAAGTAACGATGGCAACGCACGAGTTGCCATCCAATTCACTGACAGACCGTATTTCTTATCGGTAAGCATCAACGTGTAAATATCTATAAGTCAAAATGGGATTATACATAATAATGTAAATATGATTTGATAATGATGAACAAATTAAATGAAATAATCCGTCTTACTTTCCGCATAATTTCTACAAAACTGCATTGAAAGCTTAGAAAGCATTGAAGCGCGAAGCATTAAAAGCAATTTTATAATATTTTTTGTCTTTATTTGTTTGTTTGTTTTTTGTTTTTTTTCTATAAAAGAACAATCTCACTTACTTACAACCCGAACAACAATCTCGGGTTCTTGTAGATTAACCCTGCTGAGAAGGGGTAAGACGTAGTCTATGATTCTTTGTTTCTCGAGTCGATTTAAAATACAGTAAATCACTTTCACCAATTCGCATTCGTCGACAGTCTTATTGTCGAAGGCCTGGAGTATCTTCGGTAGTATTATAGTTTTGATAGCATCGTCGTTGATATAATCTGTTACTTTGGTCACGGCTATGCAAGCGGCCGTCTAAGGGGAACGTGTAAAGTGTATATTTCCTATCACGTTTTCATGCTAGTATAATTTAGGGGTTAACGTTACCCTTAAACTTTAAAAATCATTACTTTTTAGTCATAATAATATTAAACAAATGATTTTAGAATGATATTTAAAGTATAGCAATAGAACCGATTAAAGTGAACACAATTTTTGTAATTTGCTTATACAGTTTTTATCTGATTGACTTGAAATTTTGATAAGATCTTTTAAAATATATATTGTATGAAATTATAAGGTAAAATTTGTTAAAAACTTTTTTGAAGTGAAAACTTCTTTAGAATAAGGGTGATTTGATAAAATAAAACGCTGCAGCGATGCAGCGCAACTTTCTAATCTTTTATTATTTTTACGACGATCATTAAATGTCTAAAATTGATTAATTTCAATTTTTAAATATTTACTTTTCATATAAGATACTAAATATTATTCTAAAAATATGCATTAATTAATTACAAAATTAAAATGAAATTTGTATGATTATTTATAAAAATATTAACGCCTGTAGGTATGCAACTCTCCATACACACTTTCAAAATGTTGCTTGCGAGCGTCATCTGTTGGGACAGAATTTTTTTCAGTCCAAACTGTTTATACACGCATGTATTACGGGTTGCCTATCTTTCAGGCAGAAAATAAATTCCGTTCCAACAGGTGACGCTCGCAAGCAACATTTTCAAAGTGTGTCTGGCGGGTTACATTCTTATAGGCGCGCATTTTTATAATTATTAAATAAATAATTAGAAAAAAAAGTACAAAATAATATTATAATAATGTTTTATAATAAATTATCCTACATCTGATAACTATGTACTCATCTCATTCTCTCGAAACTTGATTTATGTTTCACTCCTAACTTGTGTGATCTGCACACATGTTTTTTTTTTTTAAATAATAATTATATAAACTTCCATAATTTGGTATCATTTTAAAGCCTAAAGGATAACGTTACTACCTCTCAACGGTTTCTATATATGTGTGATTGTGTGTGTGTTCATGGGTGTATTATTTTACCTGCACTTGTATCGTTGAATTCTCAAAACTGTTATACAACATTTTTAAAACTTCCGAATCTATATATTCCTCGGGCGTCTTCTTCAATATTACATGTAAATTTTCTAACATTATAACGGTACCATTAATTGATTTTCGGTTCAAGAAGAGCGGTCTGAAAACAAGTAAAAGAGATCAAAAAGAAAGAGGTGATTTTATTCGTGATACATAAATAATAAATAACAGTATGAACTGCAAAAGTATTCTTACAGTAAATAGTATGTAAAAAAAAAAAAAAACAAAAAATAATCTGTATTTTCTATATTATTAATTAGTATACAATATATATTTGTTTGCATGTTATATACTAACATTAGCTCAGTATTATCAATGCTTAACAGATTAGGTGCAGTTATTTGCTAAAAAAAGGATCCTAAGTTACAAAATATTAATAATTAACTTTTGTTTTTATTTATATTAATTAGGACTAATGTTAGTACATAAAATATAAATATATATATCGTATTACAATTAATATAATATAGGAAATATAAATCTTTTTCTTTTCACATACTTTTATTTGTACGAATATTTGTCTTCATCTTCACCCTAAATGATTTCAATTTTGAATGTTAATTAAAAGAATAATTTACCTCAAAGTTGGAAAGATTATTTTCTCGAACTCTTCTTTAGTACTCTTTTCAATGATGTATAAGATCGGCTGCAGGACCGCCGATAAGACTTCCTGGGTCTGCAACTCAGCCCGAAGATACCACCAAATGTGTTGATACAATAGTTTCTGCGTATTAAAGTGGTGCATGTGACAACGCGAGCCGACGGAATCATACGGTCGTCTTTTTTATGTAGATCGTCTTTTCTACCTTCGGTACATACGGCAAAAATTCCTTCAGGGTCGTTGTATAAAAATGTTCCTTTTGCGATATGTCCTTTAACTTGCTAACATCCAGAAATTGAAAGGCGTGCACTAGTGGATCCCTGTAATTCATTATTTTTCATTTCTATGTTGTTTTTTTTTTTGGTTTTTTTTGTTTTTGTTTTTTTTTTTCAACTTTTTAATTAGAAATTTGATATAGATATTCTTCATAACCAACCGGAAATATTTGATCATCGATAAAACTTGAGCTGTAGGCCTTAGATTAACATCCTTTTGTAGAAGTCTTTGAACTGCTTCTCTTAGGGCAAATGTTACCGAGGGTAGAAAGAGTTCTACCTGATCGTCGAGCTAAAGGTATGAGAAGTGCAATGAATCGAGTAAAAAGAAAAAAAAAACTATATTTTTCATTTATAAAAAACAATTTTCATATTATATATGATCGGTGTCGATTTATTCCTTACGGTGACGAACAACAATTTATTGTTTCTTCGTGATTGTACAAGTTGTGAAAGAACTATTAGTCTACTGATAACTTATTTGTATTTCTGTTGTTGCTTTGTAACATTTACAAATAATAAATCACCATAAATAATTTAAAAATAGTTTAATTGATCGTTAATATGAAGTAGTGACTTATAGTTAATATCAAGTAATATAATAATATTATATTTTGTATATAAATCAAGTTATGACCAAATGATTTTGTTATTATTTGTAAATGTTGTTTATTCAAAATATACCCGACTTTTTTCCACTTTTCATAATAATTTTGAATAAAAACTATTAGTACAATTTTGTTAATATATTTCTATTGAATGATAAACATGAATTAAGTCACTTACATTTTCTATTTGTCTCAGGTATTCAGAATAATTGTGATTGGCTTGAATCAATGGTCTGCCATGATTGAAGATAGCACACATTGTCATTCCAAGACTATACATGTCGCTAGCAAAACTATCTATTAATTCTTTTTGTTGAGTTTCCGGTGCTATAAATAAAACACAAAAAAAAAACGTAGAAGAAAATCGTCAATCCATCCTAATTATTTTCTTACCTAAATAATCCAAATTTGGTTGTGCCATCTTTGACTTACTACTTGTCCATGGCTTTATTTCAAATGGTATCTTATTGATAACCTCTGTGTTAATATTAAATAAAATAATTCATAATACAATTTTTAAATAATAATTTATAAAAAGAAATATTTTCAATTAGATGATAGAGTATAATTCTTACTTATAAATTCAAATCCGGCAAGTTTCCATGTTCCTCTTTTCGTTATTATAATATTACTTGGACAAACGTTTCTATGAAGAATTCTGAGATGACAACTGTTATGAAGAAATAGTAATGCTTCAGTAATCTGTAAATCGAAATATTTCTTTTATGCGATTGCAGAAAAATATTACAAATAAAAGATATATATGTATATATGTTGTTATCCCATTGAATGGCAAATATATTTAGAACGTCTTGCCTTACATTTTGAAATATATAATATTATTAAATATTTAAGTATTATATATTAATTATAATATTTAATTAATATTATTATATATAATACTTAATATTAATTATATTATATATAATATTTAATATATTAATTATATTAATATATTATATTTAATATTATTATATATAATAT